AAGTGCCATTTAAAATTGAATCATCTCTATCGAGTTATTATAATTTAATCTCAGATCAATACTTTGATCGAGAATCCGTGTCAGAGTATAACATAACAATTACGGCCAATGATTTTGGTTCTCCTCCACTATCTAGTTCAACGACTTTACACCTTAAAATATCTGATGTAAACGATAATGCACCGCTATTTGATAAGAATGTCTATTTGGCTCAGATCACAGAGAATAATTCTCCTGGAGCCTCAATATTTGCTGTCAGCGCCAAAGACTCTGATTGGAATCAAAACGCCAGAATCTCCTATATTTTAGAGGAGACGCAGGTCAGTGGTAGTTCAGTCTCTGCTTATGTTTCTCTGAACTCTGAAACTGGAGTTCTTAGTGCAGTTCGTTCTTTTGATTTTGAGCAAATTCATCAGATTGAAGTGAAAGTCAAAGCTCAGGATGGAGGCTCTCCTCCACTCAGTAGTAATGTGACCGTGAAGATACTGATCCAGGACCAGAACGATAACCCTCCTCAGGTTCTGTACCCAGTCCAGACTGGTGGCTCTGTGGTGGGTGAAATGGTGCCTCGTTCAGCAGATGTGGGCTATCTGGTCTCTAAAGTGGTGGCTGTTGATGTGGACTCTGGACAGAATGCCTGGCTCTCCTATAAACTCCAGAAAGTCCCAGACAGGGCTCTGTTTGAAGTTGGCTTACAGAATGGAGAAATCAGAACTATCCGCCAAGTGACTGATAAAGATCCTGTCAATCAAAAACTGACTGTTATAGTGGAGGACAACGGACAGCCCTCTCGTTCAGCTACAGTCATTGTTAACGTGGCGGTGGCTGACAGTTTCTCTGAAGTACTGTCTGAGTTCACTGACTTTAAACACGACAAGGAGTACAATGACAACCTGACTTTTTACTTAGTGTTGGCTCTGGCTGTAGTTTCCTTCCTCTTCATCACGTGTTTAGTTGTTATTATCTCAGTGAAGATCTACAGATGGAGACAGTCTCGAATCCTCTATCACTCCGGTCTGCCTGTGATTCCATATTATCCACCACGTTACTCAGACACTTTGGGAACAGGAACTATTCCTCACATGTATAACTACGACATGTGCAGAACAACTGACTCCAGAAAGAGTGACCTTAAGTTCGACCGAGGTGGAGGTCAGAATGTGTTAATAATGGATGGGACGATGCAGCGGATACACACTGAGAAAAGCATCTTGGATGAACCAGACTCTCCTTTAGAGGTAACACACCTTTATTGACCTATTTCACATCGTTACCTAAGAATTATATAATTACAAACAGTAAAAAAAAAAACTCATTCTATTAGCACCTCTTCAGAACCATGGACAGCGCCACTCAGTCACTTAAGAAACAGCATGTTATCCACAGCTTTTAATATGGATTTTTCTCAAATAATGTGTCAAAGTAATTGAACGTAGCTTTAGAAAAAGGCTAAACTTTCCCCACACACACGTTTCCTCATTTTCAGCCCTTTCTAATCCAAAAAGTCGTTCGGGATTATGAATAACTCGTAATGATACAATGGCATATTTAATCCTTTTCTCTGTCATTATCAAATAATTGCTTTTTCAAATGTGGAGTATATCTATGGCTGTCTTTCCACATATGTCTTTGCATGAGTTGTTTTTATTTTTTTCCTAAATGTCACTTATTTTTCTGGCTTAATTTCTTATAAATCAGGTTGTTACAGTATTGTTTGTACTAGTATGTTTTTTCTTATTTATTTCCAGAAGTTTTCTGCCTAGTTTTTAGTCACTTTATATATATATATATATACATATATATATATATATATATATATTCAATTTAATATTTTATATTTATGTTTTGCTCATGCTGTTTACCACACATTACTCACTCTACAACAGAACAATGCGATGTGAAGTTTTAACTGTTAATTTGTTCACTTTTCCTATAGCCTATATACAAAAACTTATAATGAATGTACCTCGCTTTACTTCACCTCACACATTATAACAGCAAAAATGAAAAGTTGTACACATTAAGTATATCTTTAGCGATAGAATACCCTGGTTTCTTTTTTAATCCCACACTTCCACTATTTGGACTCTAAGCGACGCTGTTTGCCACTAAAATTAATTTTGGTTCTGTTTGTCGTCATTCACCCCACCTCCTGACTGAGGGAAGGAGGCTGTCTGTGTTTGTCGAGGATTAGATGAACATATCAGAATCTAATTGCAACAAGGAGACATTAAAGGTGGTTCTTGCCGGAACCGATAAATCAGAAGAGAGTTCAGTTTGATTTCCAACGGATATTCATTCATCTTTCAAGTCTTTTTTTAACGCAATGGCAAACCGGATGTATTTCTTGGCTTTATTCTGCGGAGGGCGGCTGTTTTCTGGACGACAACGACACTTTGGCCTGCTAATGTTGCTGCTCTATGTCGGTGAAATGGTAGGAGGGCAGATTCGTTATTCTATACCAGAGGAAATGAAGAAAGGTTCTGTTATTGGCAACATTGCGCAGGATTTAGGGTTGGATGTGAAGAGACTGCGCTCTGGGCGGGCCCGTATCGTGTCCGGAGAAAACGTTCACTACACCGAGCTGAAAACAGACAAAGGAATACTAGTGGTGGGTGAGAGAATAGACAGAGAGCAGCTTTGTGGTGACGTAACGCCGTGTAGCTTCAGTTTTGATGTGATTCTAGAAAATCCAATGGAACTGCACCGAATAACGGTCGAGGTTTTGGATATAAACGACCACGCTCCGGTGTTCCCAAATCGAGATGAGCCCATAATGTTTGATATAAGTGAGGGGGCAGCTGTGGGAGTACAGTTTCCACTGCAGAGCGCAGAAGATCCTGATGTAGGACAGAACGCGTTGCAAAATTACATTTTGTCACAAAACGACAATTTCATTTTGAAACAACATGCAAATCCCGATGGAGGCAAATATGTTGAGATGATGCTACAGAAGCCTTTGGATAGAGAGCAAAGTCCACAGTTGTCGTTGAAGTTAATCGCTGTGGACGGAGGAACACCGCAGAGGTCTGGCACTGTTAATATTGTTATTAATGTTTTGGATGCTAATGACAATGTCCCAGTATTTAACCAAACTGTGTATAAAACCAATGTAAAGGAAAACACAGTTAGAGGCACGCGTATAATTACTGTAAATGCCACCGACGCAGATAGCGGTTCTTTCGGACGCGTTACCTACGGTTTGTCAAAAATGAAAGGCGTAACAACACATATTTTAAGTATTGATAAAATTACTGGAGTGATATCTGTGTCAGGTGACATAGATTTCGAAAAAGAAAGAAAATATGAAGTAAGAGTAGAGGCAAAGGATCACGGTGGTCTCATTGGAACAAGCAAGTTGATATTGGATGTGATTGACGTAAACGACAACACACCTGTCATAAACATTCTGTCTTTTTTTAGCCCGGTATCTGAGGATGCTCCTCCCGGTACAACTGTTGCTATTTTGAATGTAAAAGATGCCGACTTTGAGAAAAATGGACAAATAAAATGTACTGTAGACGGTAAAGTGCCATTTAAAATTGAATCATCTCTATCGAGTTATTATAATTTAATCTCAGATCGATACTTTGATCGAGAATCCGTGTCAGAGTATAACATAACAATTACGGCCAATGATTTTGGTTCTCCTCCACTATCTAGTTCAACGACTTTACACCTTAAAATATCTGATGTAAACGATAATGCACCGCTATTTGATAAGAATGTCTATTTGGCTCAGATCACAGAGAATAATTCTCCTGGAGCCTCAATATTTGCTGTCAGCGCCAAAGACTCTGATTGGAATCAAAACGCCAGAATCTCCTATATTTTAGAGGAGACGCAGGTCAGTGGTAGTTCAGTCTCTGCTTATGTTTCTCTGAACTCTGAAACTGGAGTTCTTAGTGCAGTTCGTTCTTTTGATTTTGAGCAAATTCATCAGATTGAAGTGAAAGTGAAAGCTCAGGATGGAGGCTCTCCTCCACTGAGTAGTAATGTGACCGTGAAGATACTGATCCAGGACCAGAACGATAACCCTCCTCAGGTTCTGTACCCAGTCCAGACTGGTGGCTC